TGGACTCGGGAATCATAAGTCCTCCAGAGACCAGCTTCCCACTAGAGAAACATCTTGAAGTTGGGTTGCCAAAGATGTTTCGAACGTCGAACTTGATGATACTCCAAAGACCCACAATATTCTCCAAGCAGAGGCAGAGATGACTCATGATCTGATTTATGGATTCCAAGATCATTGATGCTGTTGAATCTTATGCCCCTTTCCAATCTGCATAATCTGAATGATCGTCAAACACGGAGACGCTGGCTCATGTTGCTTGCAGAGGCCAACCAAAGATCTGAGTTAGGTGATGGTGTTCCCGTGTAAAGATGAACCCAGCCAATTCACTACCAAATTCATCCAACTTTTTTCGGGAAAGAATCGCTCAAAATGGCACCTCCAAAAGACTGATCAACCTTACCTTGTGCCTTGTTCATCAGGACACCTTGAAAGACAAGACAGACATGGAACTGAATCGTTCTCGTGGATTGGAAGCAATCCGGTCCAAGCCCCAGACACAAACAATGGGAACAGGTTTCCAATGACAAGGGACTCTGTAATTTGGTTGGACACCGACAGCTTTGGGATGGTTTTTTGCAGCCAAAATGTCGAAACTTTCCCATGCGATTCCTCTGCATCGCTTCAGTTCTGAGGAGATTTGTGGAACGGACCACTTGCTGCCCCATGAATCCATACCCGAGGCACGCTTTGGAGGCATTGAAAAACGGATTCCGCGCTGTAGAGTCGAAATCCTAGCGGGGGCGGGGCCACTGGAAAGGGGCCTCGAAATTCTAGCGAAGGATGAAGGATCCTGAATATTTGTGAAGCAAAATACCCAGCAATTTTGACAGTTAAATCAGTTTGAACCAGCATATGCCCATAGTCCATGGCCCATAGTTATATCATGTTATATCATGTTAAATCAGAATTGTTGAAACTAGTACCAGCTGTACCAGTTGCTGTTTCGCATGACTCAAAGCTCGTCATCTCAGGTCGTTCGGCTCCTCCACCGCCTTGGTGGCTGTTTTGAACAGGTGGGCCTGGATGGGTTCCCACTGAGAGCCAGGCTGCGTTGGAATTCGGCTGTTTATCTTGAATGAAATCATATAACATCCCGAAAATGAGTGGGAACCTATGTGCTTACTGATCTTTCAATATCTTTCATGCCGATCTTGAAATCAAGTGGCCTGGCTCCATGATTACTGCAAGGAGATGAAAGTCCACCAGCTGCAGTCCAGGTGGGGCTTTGGATGTCTTTGGCCAGGTGTTTAAGATGCTTAAGACAGATTCTAGGACATCTTTGAGGTGTCAGACATCTGAGAGGCCCGCGACTGTTGTCATTTTTTGCATTGGAGTTGGAGGGGGGTGGGTGGGGTGGGATATATAATAACGTCATTGGCACGGCCACACATGTACGTGATGCAACATTACTGTACGCTCTCTTTGACTTCATTCATATCCACACATACATCATGCTTGCGCTTCCACACATACGTCATGCTACGCTGCTGTAGTTTCTTCCAGACATACGTCATGCTACGCTGCTGCAGGTTCTCTTGCACTTCCACACGTACATCGTGCTACGCTGCTGTAGGTTCTCTTGACGATGGCAACGTTGATGACGATGAGGATGAGGATGAGGTTCATAATGATGATGGTGAGAATGACAAAGATGATGTTGATGATGATGGCGATGTTGATATTGCTTATGAAACTATAGTTTCGTTTTTGAGCCTTTTTCAATGCCCCCATAAAAAAATGTTTGAAAAGCGACGACAGTCGCGAGCTTTCCAGCTGCCCGGCACCATGTCCTAGTTTGTTTTGGCTCTCTTGTTTGGCCACCTACAGCTGGGAGAGGTAAATTTGCAGAGACCTCCAGTGGCTCCAGCAGCCCGTCAATGCGAACTGTCAAACTTAGCGGTTTGACACCCGTCGATGCTTCAGTCTCCTGGCCCGGGGTTTTGCGATTTCTCTTGAAATAGCTGACAAAGGTTTGCGGGCCTGTGCCATTCTGTGACCCTGATTTTCATGAGGGATCAAAGGCACCACCACGTGGAAAACAATATACCTGTATAGTGGGTGAGGCTTTACCGTCAACTTATCTTCGCAAAGAATCAAATCCATCACCCCGTCCTTCCAATATTGGGTTGCTTGTAGGTTCAGCTTATCTTCATGAGGGATCAAATCCACCACCCTTTAGCCAATATCTAATTAGATGTAAACGTCACCTTTGTATTTTTATCCGGGATCTGGTCCACCACTCCCAGAGAACAATAAATGGAATGAGATATGAATCTGATATGAATTTGTATATTTTCATCAGGGATCAAACCCGCCACCCCCTTGAAAAAAAAACACCGAGTGAGATTTTGAAGAGATCAAACCCATCACCGCCTTTGAACAATATATTGAATTGTCTTTACATTTCATGTTTTCATAAAGAATCAAATCCACAACCCCCTCTGAACAGTACATTGAAAGGTGCGTGGACTGCAACTTATCTTCACGATTGCCAGATTATAGTCATTTGATGTGAGTACCATGTGATTATTTGTTGCATTGACAGGGGAACCCGCCACATACGTCATATATAGTGAACATGTAGGTGCAATAGCACTTACGCTCGGTCTGCCCAGGCCGCATGTTGACGTGCCCATTGCCAGATCCAAGGACGCTTCCAGCCGGGACTCTTGGCACATCTTCATGGCGAGCACATGCAGTCGTTGATGTGAACTTTTTTTTCGCTTATCTCCGTGTATATTTTGCATCTGGGAATCATCATATTTTTGCAGACTGTTATTGTTCGGACACCGTGTGAGTGCTCCGCAGATTAGAATTTCGCTTCAGAACTAGTGCTCCTTGTCATGATCATTTTTTGCTTGTCACCGCAAAGATTTTGACACCCTTTTAGCTTGCATTTGACCACTGTCCGTCTGAGGATATCCATGGATAAGATCTTGAATCCACGGCTACTGCTGGACTTGTCTCAGTGCCCCGGCTACGGTCTCGCGTTCTCAGCTTTTGAGACATGTGTCAATGAATCTTTCACGGGTCAGGACTGCTAATGCGCCAGCAAACAGCCATAGTCAAAACGACTTGCAGAGAACCGTTCAGTGGGACATTGCGCAACACTTTCTTGTCGCTGTGGCCTTCTTGTTGCCATGTTTTCCCACATTTTCATTAAAATTTAATCACATGCCTCAGCTCGATATACCTCCTATAATTTTATAGCCTGTAACAGGCCAAGTCCCTAGTATGGACACAGGTGGTTCTTCGTAGGTTTCTACAAGAGCGAGATCCGCAAGACTTTGTCCAGTGGGCGCTACCGAGGTCATGCAATGCCAATAACAAGTCAATGCCGCTGGTGATCGGAACGCCACTGCACCAAGCCGCTAGCAGGCGTGAAGAAAGTTGCAGCTAGTTAGCATGTATTGTGTTTCTTCCCGCGTTGGGGTCGGTTACAGAACCATGGCTTTTGGCATGATGAAACGGATAGACTTTTTACAAATCTAGTGACAACTTATTGCTGTTTGAAGGGCTTGCAGGACCACAGCGACGGAAACCATGCGCATTTCGTCCACAAATCCGTTCTCGCCTTTTTCCTGCAACGCATGGATGCGGCCGCCAAGAGGCACTGCGGGCACTGAGCAACACCCATTTTGTGTTTCCATGGTCTTACACCGGGATCACCGCCGTTGAAGAGCTCCGCGGATGGAAAAAAAATCAAACCAGCGTTCTGTGGTCGTATCCCGGGTTTTTTCAGTTCCAGGGTTCCAGCTTCCGATTATATCAGTTTCCGAATACAACTCCCAGTTTCCGAATACCACTCCCAAGTTTCCGAGCACCACTCCCAGTTTCCCAAGACCAGTTTCCGAATACCACGTCCCAGTTTCCGAATACCACTGTCCAGTTTCCGAATACCACTGTCTAGTTTCCGAATACCACGTCCCAGTTTCCGAATACCACTGTCCAGTTTCCGAATACCACTGTCTAGTTTCCGATACCACTGTCCAGTTTCCGAATACCACTTTCCAATTTCCGAATACCACTTCCAGTTTCCGAATCATAGTTTCCGAATACCACCTCCACTTTCCAAATGCAACTCGCCAGTTTCCGAGTACCACCGTGACCTACTTACCTACATACCTACCTACATATACATACAGGCATCACTGCATACATGCATACATACATACATACATACCTACATACATACATACATGCATGCATACATACATACTTGAGATTTGGGTTCCTCTTCAAACTGGGGAATTTCTGCATGATTTTCAGTCAAGGCTGTTCACAGGACACAACTCAAACATCTTGAGAGGGGCAACTGGAGAATTGACATCGAACAGAATCCCTTCCGGCATTCATATGAAACACCGTGGTGGATCTAGGGGATGGAACAAAATATTTGGGACCACACAATAGGGCGGTTGATATTAGAAGATGGGATTACTTGTTTAAAGCAAATGTGGTCAGAACCATTTTACTTTCACGCAGTCGGGTATGGCTTACATATCTTTGAATATTGGGTAGCAGGTGACCCACAATTTGTTTTTTGTTGCTTTGTTTTCCGTTTTCCAATCAAACTATCCAATTTGTGAGCCATAAACAAGTGAGCCCGCAACGCATGCATATGTAGTTCTGACATGCCATGGCAGTTGGCACACAAAAGTGAATGGACAATTTTCCACCATGAGGCCAAATCACACATTTTTTTGGTGTAAAGTCACATCCTTGTCCTTGAACTCAAGGCGAATCATCGGTCCCTTGAGGGACCAGTAAAAAAACTACCACCTAAACTCCAAGCGTATCATTGTGACCGTTAACGGGAGGTTCTTGTCAAAGCTATATATTTTTCTGTATCCCATTTATCACTGAACTATATATACATGTATTTATATAAATATATATATATATACACATCATTTATTTACATACATGAGCTGAAAGTAGGCTGTCAAAAAATGGTTATGAAAAGTTATGACCCCTTGAGTCCGTGGCCTGACGCCCAGGGCTCGATGAAGGGACAGCAACCGCCGGAAGATGGTACCTGGGCCTTGTTTAACCGGTTCAAAATGGTGATTCCATGGTGCTGAAAAAGGTGATTTAAAGGTGATTTAATGGTGACTCAATAGGATTTAGTGGCGATGTTCTTCTGATTTTTGATAATTGTGATTCAATGGTGATTGAATGGTTTTTTTTCTATTTGATGGGATTTGGTTTGCTAAGTCGGTCGACATACATCACTGGGGGGGTCAACATGAATATCTGTCCAATAACTCTTCGTTGGTTTCAACTAGTTTTTTTGGGGGTTTACTATTGAGATAGGATGACTGATGCCAATTCAATGATACTTTCGGGATGGCTTGGAAGCAGAAAGCAGGTGGGGTCAAAAATTAGATTTAGAGGACCACCAAATAGAATGGACCTTTTTCCACAGCTTTCTTTTGATTCAGAAAATTGAGAACTTTAAGCATGGACCATGGATTTAACTCAGACAACTCCAAAGTTGATTGACCATTTGCGCGTGTGTGTACGTGTGGTTGCAAGGATTCTCACAGTTCTTGGTGACCAAATCCACAAGCATTGCCATTGTCATTCTCAGACCACTTGCAGAAACTTTGAAAAAGTAAAAAGCCGCATCATTGATGATTCAAACATTCATGATTGACTGGTTAACTTGACTACGTCGATGATTTTCCACAATGTTTATTTTTCACATTCAAATCGTGAAACAGCTGGTTTTCACGTATCATGTTAGATGATTAAAATATTCATTTTTTCCATTCAGTTGGGAATAATCATCCCAACTGGCGAATTCATATTTTTCAGCGGGGCAGGTATACCACCAACCAGTCATGTTTCACGATTCACCAGGTGGGAAACCCACCCAGTTCCCAACTCAGTGGATCGAGCGAGGTAAAGGAGCTCAGCCTTTGTGGTTAGGAAGCCCAGCTGGCTGAAGCGTTCAGAATATGATTATTCTATAACACTGCTAAATTCTATAACAGAAAACTACAGTAAAAATAATATATATTAAATATAATTTAAAAATATAATATTATGTTTTAATATAGTAGAATATTAAATAATATAATACAGTATAAATTAGTATATGTATATAATTTAATATTTAGTATTCTATAGTAATTGACATATATATAATATCAAGACATTTTTAATATATTGAATATAATATAATATTGTAAAATATAATGCCATATAATATGTCATCTCATCTTATATCTAATATATATCATATAATATTATCAAATATATATAATATAATATACTTTCTAATATATATATATGTATAATATTTTAGTACTAAATAGTGTTATTTAATAGCATATAATACCACAACATAATATAATATAATATAAGACAACATAATGTAATATTTTAATATAATATCATTTCATTTAATTTAATGAAATATAATATAATAGAGTATAATTTAATATAATATAATTTAATATAATAAACTATAAATATATGATTTAATATAAAAAATACTTTTATTAAAATATAATACAATAAACTGATATTATATTTAATATAATTTAACAAAAAAAATATTTAATATAATATAATATATAAATATATAACTTAATATAATATATAATATATATTAAAATATAATATAATATAATATAATATAAAAATATAGTATAAGATAAAATAAAATAATTTTAATTTAATTTAAAATAAAATAATATAATATAGTATAGTATAATATAATATGATATAATATAGTACAATAATATATATATATATACAATACACACATATATATATATAACTCTATATATATATATAACTCTATATATATATATATTTATCGTGATATACTGATTGAGCATTTACTAGCCGGCATGCAAATTCGAGCATTAGCTTTCGAAAACCAAGCACCTGGTTGATGAGTGAAGGCCGGAGGTATTGTTTTCGATGGAAACCATGGCGACTTTCTTGGGGACTTCCCTGGATCAGCCCGGCGTCAATAAATCATGAGAATATGTCCTCATGATCGACATATAAGAAGGATCATGCGAATTATCCTGCTATATATACATGTCTTGATGCTGGGTGGCGTTGTTAGCAGATGTTAGCGGGTACAAATCACGATAACAACATATTTGGTTTTGCTTGAGCATAGGGGACACCAAAAATATCTTGATGTATCAGTGTTCCCATTGTGGGGGCCATTGTTCATAAAATCCGTCAGAAAAGCCTTACAGTAAATACTCGTAGTAGTCTATCATTATTTTCGATGGTAGAATCGTGTTGTTTAATGGTTGATTTTCTTGATTTTTCGAAATTCCTAACATTGGATGCTTAAATCCCCTTGATGTTCAAATCACGATTTTCCATGGTTTAATCATCTGAATTCATCTGAATTTCCCTATTTTCGATGCTAACATCATAGTTAAATCATGTTCAATCACCATCTAAAAAGTCCCTTCCCCAAGACATCTCAGGACCTCGTCCCTTCAAAAAAGTCTTAGCCCTTCAGGCAGTGCTTGCCGGAACTGGGGCAACAACTTCGCAGGGCCTCCGAGGTGGGTAATGTTCATGGTCTAATGACCCTACTAGTCTAATGATGGACTGATGATATATTTAATATATTTTAGTGTTAAAACCTATGTATATATATATTATATTATAGCATTAAGACATCTAATGATAGTCTAATGGTTATATAATGTTAGGTAAATAGGGTTTCACACTAAAATATTCTAATGATTCTAATGACTTGGATGATCTGGGAGAAACCCCACCTGACTAAATGGAAATCTCCAAGTAGTTCCGGGTAAGTTATAGTGACCTCAGGTCATGACCTGGAATCAGTAAGAGGAATGATGCCAATATCGCAAAATTTCAGTAAAAGGAATTCTAAATTGCCCAGATTCAAACAAAAAAACTGGGGATTATTCAACCAAATTGGGATTTAGATGGATTTAGCCAACAGACATGGGGATAGTTCATGGCATGGGATGTGATATCCACGAGGAGAAATTCGTCATTTTACCTCTTTATTTACCCAGTGTCCCCCCCTTTTTTGGGGGAGCTACAAGAGGGAAATGGATATGGTTGTATAAACCAATAGATAAAATTTTAGCCAGATATTTTCCCACCATATCCCAATTATATTTTCCAGATCGTAAGCAACAGACATGGTATATGATGGGAAAATATCTGGCTGAATTTGATCATGACTTCATTGCTACGTCACCGGAATGATGGGAATTGGATTCGGGAAATCATCCCCATAGCTGGCCGTGTGATAACAGCTATTTTCAGGTCAGTGAATCATTGTCATTCAGCAAGATGCTATAGATATTGTGTATATATATATAACCCTTACCATGCCCCCAACTACCATAATTAGTGGGTTGATGGTTGGAAGATTATTTTCCTCCAAAAAAGTGTATTTTGTAGTGTCTATGTTAATTTGGGGGATGGGAAGGGTCTTTACATGTTTTTACAATATTTATGGCAATCCCCAAAAAGATACAAAAGCAAAATCATACGAAGACACCGTAAATTGAACCCTTCCTATCTTCATGGGGGTCGCTATATCAAAATTGCCCTCTGGCAATCAAACATGATTAGCTGCAAAATCACACAGTTAGTTCGATGATGTTTCCTATTATATAAACCACGATTTGGGAGTTTCTAGCTGGCCATGTTTCATTACCGGGGCGTGAGGAATTTAATCATATTTACCAAAAGATTTGGGGTACGTACCCTATTTTTGGACAACCCGACATAGAATAATTAGATAATTTTGAACCATTTGATTGATATATGCAGATAAAAAAACACTGGTCCAGTAGTGCGTCCTGACGCTTCAATTGCAGCTAAGTGACGTCATGGTGTTTTTTTCTATGGTTTTTGCGGTGTTTTGTGTGTTTTTTAATATGACACTGTCATGGTATTCCAAATTTGTTTTTCTGGAAAAGTGAGCAAAAACTGACTGGCACCACAGTTTCGTGGTGTTTTTAAATTTGATCGTGTTTTCTTTACAGCGAAATGGTAATTTTTGTATCAAAGAACTACTTTTGTTTGACTCCGTTTTCTTGAAAGGTGAGTTGATTGATGTTGAACGGGGCTACAGCGAAATGCATGTTTTTCATGTCGATTGTGTTTTCACTACAGTGAAATGCTAATTTGTGTGTCAAAGAACTTCTTTTTTTTTGTGCCCGGTTTCTTGAAAGGTGAGTGGAGTGATGTTGCATGGATATCAACCTGCCTTCTTCCGTCGGAAGAACATTGGCCATAGATGATAGCTGCTGATATAGATGGATATTGATATTGGGGAGAATGGGAAGTAGATTACTCAGTAGAGTGATTATCATTCTGCAATTCAGGACGGAATTCCATCACCTCCCACAGACCCAGCTAATATGGGTGGTCAGGTCCCAGAAATATGAGTCAAGTAGTCAGAGATTATCCTCCAAGTCTTTATATCCGAATGTGGAACCGCAGCCGCCTCCAGCGCAAACCCGCATGGCACCCCGCACACCGTCCAAAGCTCCCAGCAGCGCAGACATGCCAGGCCCAGCCCAGCTCGCAGTCTACCGACTGAAAGTGGTGAAGCCCACAGAGGCTGAAGTGCGTCGGGCACTACACGAGCTTGGGTACAGCAGGTCCAGGATCAGCCAACTCCTGGCGGAGTGCGCGCAGCACCCGCCCAGGAACTGGCTGCAACGGCAATGGCAGACTGCGCAGGACCAACCACAATGCATTCATGATGACAGAAAGAATTAAATAGCACGAATGATGCACCCTCAATTATCTTGATTCTATCATAGATTGCTTGAGCAAGTAGGTTAATCACCGATGGCCCGATACATTTCCTCAGACAACGACTTGAGAACAGAGTTTATGAGGTCTAAAAATAACAATATCTAATGTTTATATATAGACATGAGGATAATCGGCCATTCAGGATTGAGACATTTCTTAGTGCAGCAAGATCAATGGATGCAACAAAAAGGAAAAATTCGCAAAAAAGAGGTTACACACCTACAGTAGATATACTGTTTATGTAAATATCAACATATATACATATAAATAAATATTTATTTATTTATTTATATGTGTGTGTGTATGCCTCTACGATCTAGCTATGCCTATCTGTATAATTCTAGACCCCTTGGACCCCCTGATTCACATCGAAGGAGGAGGTGGACGGGCACGTGCTGGAGCTCCTGCGGGTGCGGCGCCTGAAGGCGGCACTGGGCAAAGCAGCCCGCCGGTGCCTGAGGGAAGTTCGGCACCACCGCAGCCGCCGGGCCTTCATAGCCCGGAACGCCCGCCTAGCGCGGGCTCTGCTGGTAGAGCTGCAAAACTAGGCCGGGGAGTGCGGCTGGGGCCTGGGATGAGCACGACCCACATCATTTAATTATTCGCTAAACGCAACTTGCATCTTCCACGTCACGAGACATATCCATCCCACTTGCAAAATGCAATCCAGGTGTTTCAAACCATTATGGTTATAAGCATTGGTGTGCAACTTCCCTGAGCATCGGATATTGATCCTAATCAATAAGCTTTGGGGCTTATTGATTTGTAGGAAAAATCAATATAATTTATTGATTTTGATGTGAGAAAAATCAAGTAGAATATTGATTTCAAAATCAATATTTCTGATAGGAAAAAAAAGAAAAAATCAATATGAAAATCAATATTTTCAGTGGGCACTAGTGGTCTGCAGCACTTTTTGCACCTGCATTTTGTGATGCCACTGCTGGGCTCAAACCTATATAGCCTTTTGTCAAGGAGCTTTCTTTTGGCAAGAAAGCTTGTCTTTGGACAAAGCCCCTTCCTTTTGTCAAGGCTAGGGGTCTGGCTCCAAATCCACTGGGTCAAAGCCAAGCCTTTCCAGTTGCAATTGCAATAGCACATAATACTTTGCATTGATTTTCTGGCACAATCTGGTAGTCTTGACACCATGAACCACACTGTCTTCTGCCAACAAAGTCTTCTGATCGAAAATTCCATGTGCACCTGGGGTTGATGTCATATGAAGACTTGACCAGATGGTCAAATGTGTGGAATTTGACAGTGATGTGGAACAGGTACCTGTCAGCTTCCTCAGCCCACTCACTTAGCCATGCATAGCTGTAGAAAAACTCTTTGGCCAGCTTTCTTGCCCTTGCATATGTCCTTTTGTCAAGGAACATGCCAGCTTCATCAAAAAGTTCGACCAAAGACACCATGCTCTGCAAGGCATGCACCATCTTGGCATGCATTTCATTCGATGTATCAAGCATTGCTTTGAGGACTGGCAAGAATGCAGGCATGAAATGTTTGCACTCTGCTGCCTTGCAGTCAAGCTTTGGCCAGGATTGGTGTGGCTTCTGTGGGTCTGTCACCATTGAGAGCCTGAGGTTGGTGAGCCTTGTGGGTGCCTTCTGCTTTTTGTACTCCTGCTGGATTTGAGAGAAGATCAAGGCAAGCCAGCCTGTCACTTGGCTTCACAGCTTGCTTCCCCTTCCCATCATTGTAACACAGGAAGTGCAAGATACTGCCACATAAATGTGATCGGACCCCTCTGCAAAACATCACATGAAGCCCATCATGTCTCACCATTTTGGTGCTCAAGCCTTCGATGGTGAACAAGGCATGGGCACTGCCTTTTGCCAAGGCTTGTGCATGTGTTATGCAAGAAAACTTTTGCTGATCCTCTCTCAGAATATTGAATGCTTTGCCTTTTGGGCATGGTTTCCCTTTTGTCAAGGGCTGCTGGGCATCGCATTCCCAACAACAAAACTGGCTGTTCCAGTGGTTCAGCCCCAAATGGTTGCTGTACATTTCATGGTCCCCTTGAATTGACCATATGACAGCCCTGTGGCCTTGACATGTCAAAGGCTGTCCAGCAAGCTTCTCAAACACAGACCCTTTTGGCAAGGGCTCACCTTCTGGCCCAAAACAAGGGTGGTAGCCTTCTTGCAAGCATTCGAAGCTCCACTTAATGTAGCTCATGATTGGCTTCCAAGTGGATTCAGTGGTGCATGACTTGGGCATTGCACACAGGAGTAGGTGGGAAGAAAGGCTATTGGCAAAGGAAAGGAACCCACCCCAATTCCATACCATGATGGTGTCTCTTGATTGGAACTCTACTCCATCAGCATGTGTAAACAGTGGGATTGTGTATTCTGCATTGACCACATGCCTTTTGACAAGGCCCGTCCTTTTGTCAAGGCAAATAGGGTGGCCTGGCAGCCTTTCATCCTTGACTGCTTCGACATTCTTCCAAAATTGTGCCACATCACTTGCTTTTCCAAACATCTTTTCAAACTGGAGTGGGTAAGATGAGTGGAGATTGGAAAACAAAAGATGTCTTTTCCCACTTTGGAAGTCTTGGGGTCCCTGACTGGGACTTCTACTTCATATGGTGGGGATAAAGGATTCCCTTTACACCAGTTGGCCATGAAGTCTCTGTGGCAATTGCCACCCACTTGGCCCCAATTACCACATGAAGCCATGTGAGCAAGTTCTTGGCCTTGGGCTCCATCAAGCACAGCTAGATGTGCCAATTCTTGGCACATCTTGGCTGATAGCTGGCCATTGGCCCACAAAGACAAGAGCTTCTCACAGAGACCACTTTTTCTTTTGCTTTGACCTTTTGTCAAGGTGCAAGCTTTCCTCTTTTGCAGCTCTAGGTCATGGCCTCTGAGTCTTTTAGCTTTGGGTCCATCCTCCATGTCTGTTTAGTCAGCACTTTTGTCAGGGCTTCAATCTTTTGACACAATCTTCTTTTGTCAAGATCCCTTACCACCTTCAAGAAGTTCCACTTCCTTTTGTCAAGGTGAGCTACTCAACATTCCTAGTTAAACACTTTGAGCCAAAAAATAACAAAATGAACAGTGCTGCTAGTACCTGTTACCTCATGAAAAGCCTTGGGTTAAAACCATGGAGAAACATTACCTTCACAAACCTTAAGTGCTATGGACCCAGACCCACCCCACAACAATTGTCAAAAACCATGTCAAAAAACAACATGTCAAACAAAAACAACCTGTGGCTAATGCAACCAGCTGCAGCACCATCCCCCCATTTCTTTCCTTTGCTCAAAGCAGATCTGCTGCCTTTGCTAGCCCTCTAGGGTGAGGACCCATTAAATACAAAACCCAAGAAATTGCTCAGTCCCTTTTGGCAAGTGTTTTCTGCACTAATTTCTTGAAACTTCGATCCTTTGGTCGAGGAATCTTTTGATATCACTGAAGAACAGGACCTTTTGTCAAGGTCAGTGTTGTTTTCTTCCAACCTTGGTCCCTCTACTTTTTGGTGGAGGCTTTGGAAACTTTGGAAGTTTTGGAGAATGTCTTGTTGGCCAGCACACTGAGCTCCCTCTTTTCGTCTTTCAACTGCCTGCACTTGGCAGTAGCTTCTGCAATCAGTCCCTTAGCTTTTGTCAAGCTCATTGCCTTGTCCTTCTTCAATAGAATCTCTTTGAACTTCCCTTCAAACTCATGAGCCTCATGCACCAAGGCCTCAGCATCCTTTTTGCTAGCCTTGCTCAGCCTGCCAGTTTTGTTTGCCTTGGCAATTTCTTCTTCCAGGTTGGAAGCTGCTTGCATACACTGGTCCCTGGCCTTCCTTGTTTTTTTCAAGCATTCCTTCCATTCCTCTTCCTCTGTCTTTGGGTCTTCTTCTTCTGCTGATCCTTCTTCCTCACCCACTTTGCCATCTTCAATTGCCAATTGTGCAGGCTTGCCTTTCTTCCCTTTGCCTTTGCCTTTTGTCAAGGCACCCTTGCTGCCTTTGCCTTTTCCTTTGCCCTCCAGCTGCAGCATCTGAGTTTGCAAGTCCCTTGAGAAGTGCTTTTGCCAAGCTTCTTCATCTTCACCTTCAGCAGCATATTCCTGACCCCAAGTCCATGTGTCTTTGTGCTTCACTGTCGACACTTTCTTAATATCTCTTTGGTCCAGGTATTGGAAGATCCCTGGTGTCCAAGGATCATTTCTCCATAGCACTCTCCCTGAATTAAGGTGTGCTTCAAATTCTTCTTGGGAAAATCTCTGTGACATTTGAAGCTCGGACTCCCAAGCTTCTCCTTTTGTCAAGGAGGTTCCCTGGGACATTTCTTGCTTTGCCTGCATGAACTTGGGGGCTTTGTCTTTCAGCAGGCACAAAGTGGCAAACAAACCCACTTCCTTCTTGGACATGTTGTCCACCTTCTTGGCTTCTTCTGGGTTGTTTTTCAAGTGGGTTTTCATTTTTCCCCATGCACTTTGCTGCTCTGCTGGTGCGAGTGTTTTTTAAAGCTCTGCAGCAGCTTCTTCTTGGGTGTCAGCATTTTCTGTCACCATTTGGATTCTTTCCTTCAGGCTGAGTTCACCCATCTTGTCTAGATTTTTTCTATTCAGTACATTCTTCTTGTCTTTGGTTGCCACTTTCTTGCTGCTCCCTTTTGGCAAGGGATGCTTTCCTTTTGGCAAGGGGTGCTTCCCTTTTGGCAAGGTTTTTTTCTTTTTGTCAGTGCTTGGGCCTGGTTTCACCTGCTTTGCTTTCCCTTTGGCCAAGGGATTTTTGTTCTTCAGTATGCCTTTTGGCAAGGGCTTGCCCATGCCTACAATCCTAAAACTATTTCTAACCTAATGAAAACAGCTGCAGCTTGACAAAAGCATGCATGCTACTCATGGAAGGTGACAAGTGGGGACCCTTCAGGATTACTTTCTAATTTCTTTAACCAAACAAATCAAACCATGTAGTGGTAAACCAACCCAAAGGTAGCATTTGGAAGCAAATCATGTAGATCAACCTGGTGAAAACTTTTGAATCACATTGCAATCAAATTGATTAGGGTTGGAGTTGAACAAGTTCACTTGGTGAAAATTTCTGAATCCTTCTGAAATCAAAATGATTGGGATTGAAACTGGAAAATTGCAACCTGATGAAAACTGATGAAATCTGATGAAATCTTGGTTTTCATCAGATTTCATCAGATTTCATATCAAAATGATTGGGATTGAAACTGGAAAATTGCAACCTGATGAAAACTGATGAAAACTGATGAAACCTGATGAAATCTTGGTTTCTTGGTGTCTTGGTACTGGTACCATGGAAGTAATATTCTTATTATATAGGATATTTCCTAGAGTATATTTTCAAATCTTTTGGATGTAGAGATTTCAGAGTACTCATGATTTTGAACACGTCTTTCCATTTCAGTATATTGAAATTGTTCTGATTTGGATGTAAGAGTACCCTGGGGTAACCTAACATGGATGTGGAAACCCCACCATGTAAAGAACATGTTCTTCATAAACCATGGTTTTTCCAGATCTAATTATGTGAGTTTACCCCAGGGTATCTAACTGTGACGCGAAGGTGCAGCTACAGCAGCGCTTGGAGAACCGCTTCAAAACCATGCCAAGACAGGACCGATGCCGAAAATACCGATCCGATCCGGGGGGGTGGTACCATTGGGAAAGTAGCACATGAAATCACTATTTCTATGGGGGGTATCCTTAATTCATCAACCAGGCGTTCCTTGATGCAGTGTTGACATTGGCGTTTCTTTCTAAGTATGACTCGGGTGTCATTTATATGGGGAAAGTATTGGCTCAGGATGTTTTTGGATTTGCAGGCAAGAGACTTTTTTTTGATGTTTTCGATGCTTGTTTGCCAAAAAAACTTGTGAGACCAACAGCAACGAAACAAACAATCATATGATGTGTTCACTGGTTGGTGGTTTCAAACATTTTATATTTTCCATAATATATGGGATAATCCTTCCCATTGACTCATATTTTTCAAGATGGTTAAAACCACCAACCAGATTCATGTTGTTTTCGTTGTGTTTTCCTTTTTTCTTTCATAGATTCACGAACCAGAGCTATGGAAGTTCCCAAAGCAAGGCTTCTTGGGATGGTTGTTGCTGGTGAACTACCAGGAACCTCGAAGGACACTACTGTTTCGCAACAGAAATTGCCTCTTAACTATGGTTAAGCGTATTCTGATTTTCTTGGCCAAACACTACTTTTGAAAATTGGTTGAATCTCCTACTTTCGTTCGCCAAATCCTTTCAGTCTTCAATCAAGCTATCAGCACTTGGGTTTGGAAATCCGAAATGGGGTCACCAAAAATCCAGTTGTTGACTATTTGAATCTCAATTTCTGGATAAACCCACATCAGGTTGTTGATGACTTTGATCCCACTGCGTGCTGTAAGATATTCCACTTATGCTTGTTTTATCAACCCATTATTTTGGAGAACATGTTCATATTCCCATAGGATATGAATTATACCCGAGGTATGTAGATGAGTAAAATTTTAAAATCTCAAAAAAAATACCGCTAAAGTTTTCCACGTAACCAATCCTGGATAGCCATGGATACCCTCTAATGTTTATTGGCTGGTTGGTATATATTATCTGGGTAAATTTCATCAGGACCTCACGTCCTTCTCCTGAGCCCTGGAAATCCGGGTTAATTTTAGGGAAATGATTCCCATTCATGGCCGCAAGATTCAGGTTGGTGAACTTACTATAATTTACCCATATATATATATATATATATATTATCACCATTTACAGCAAAAGATCTTAAAGTGCCAAAGTACCCATCCCAAGGTTTACCCAGTATGTCCCGTTAATTGCCTCCGTAGAAAAACAATGGGTAGTTAATTCAGGTGCTTAGTTCCCAATCATATTCCAGTGTTCCCAATCGGTATACTATAGATTCCCGAGCTATAGATTCCCATAACTTGTGGTGTTGTCATATTTCCAATCATATTCCCAATGTAGTCCAATTGCAATATTCCAAACATTTTTCCATTATATTCCCATGATCTTCTTAATCATATTTACCCAATAGATCCCAGTATACCAATGATACTTCCAATCATATTTTCATATAATCATATTCCCAATCATATTTACCCAGTATATCCCAGTACAACTTGTTAAACAAAAGCACATATAATCATATTCCCAGTCATATTTCCAATCATATTTACCATGATATTCGCAATCATATGCCCACCACTATGCCACCTTTACAACGCCCCGACGTTTTTCACGCCGTGGCCAGGAAGACGCCACCGATGTCCTGCCGAGCTAGCCGCAGGAATAGAGAGCTAGCCGCCCGTAAAGAGGAGTGAGAAACCCCAGCAACTAACCATATATCGACCATATATAGAACTATATAAATTTATAATTATATATAATTATATAATATATATATGTAAATATGTAAATATATGGACCATGTGGATAATATTCCTGGATAATCTGAATATTCTGGCTAATATATATATATACAGTATATATATATATATTAATCGTATGATCATAGTATGATGGATAATATCTATATAAACCTAGTACAAATTACATATATTGCTATATGCTAAGGGCCATTTAGTCATGGGTTCTGCAGGACCTTGAGGTCTGGACCGAGTCGTCGCAAGAGTTGGTCATGCCAGCGGTGCGAGGCGCGAAACCGCGAGTCTTGGTGACTGGGTAATGGTCACAGCCAGATGTAGAAAAAAAAGGTATCACTCAATGGTTTTTCATTTCACATCATAAATGGTTCGCGACGATTGTCCATAGCGAAATAGCTATAGTATGCCATAGTATGCTATAGTTAATATCTAGCCATATATCATCCATACCTATCCATACCTCACATCATATTTTTGTGGAAGATCCAAGTTTTTTCACATGAGACCTGAGGGTTGAACCTGGGCGGTAGCCGCTTTGACCGTGGTAATAATCTCCATGGCAAGCTGAGAAATCCCCGGTTTGATCTGGAATTTTCACTGGAAAAAGAACAATAAACATCATCCATTGCCATGTTTGATTAGCAGAGGATATCTATGGATATCTCAAAAAATACCATTTCCATCCATTTCCACCCATCAAGGGTAAGTCACGGGTAATGATTCTGGATCCCCCCTTGGTTGACTCGTGAAAATGCAACATCAATCAAGTCAAGTCAATATATTTCCAGATCCCCAAGTATATTTCTATAGCGGTTGGTGGTTGGGGGTTTGGAGCATGAATTTTATGACTTTCCATATACCCGGCCTGGTAAAAATACAAAAAGTTATTGAAAATGGTGATTTATAGTGGATTTACCCATCTACAAAATGGTGATTTCCCATAGTTACGTTAGTTTACCAGAGGGTATTGGGAATGTCATCATCCCAACTGACTTTCACTCCATCATGTTTCAGAGGGGTTGGTAGGGTATACCACCAACCAGGTTCTACAGTTGCTATCCTATGTCCTTCAATCTAAATGTGGATGGTGATCCCCGAGGAATCCCTTCCCCCATTTGAAGCACCAGAAACCATGGCTCAGCGGTGCCAGGACATGCAGATGCGGAATCTCGGGCGCGGCGCAAACGCGCGGCTAGGAGCGCTGAGCTGAGCGGAATCCATCTTCGCATGGGGAACCAGTTGGAGCTACGAGTTGGATTTCCCAGCCACGTAGTGGTTACGTGGCAGTTGTGGCATCATTGTTCTTTGGCAAATGAGGAAGAACAGTTGATGCCAGCGCAAGAGTTGTGAACAGATTGTTTGATGTTCAATGCCAGATCTTCTGGTTTCACAGAATCTGTCACTCCAGCAAAGCTGGCAGTGATGATGGGCAGATGTTGAAAGAACGAAGGGCTTGCAGGCTGTTTTTCATCTCCCCACACTGATAGGTGAAAGCGTGGTAACAGAAAAACGTTGAGACCATTGACAGGCGTGTTAAAACTTGTCCACTGCCTGAAAGTCACATGAGATGCCAAATTAGTCTGGCACATCAAATTGGCACCACCATTTTCTCCGCATGACACATCTCACTTGGAGGTTTCCTAAAATGGAGGTACTTCCAAATTAGCTGCTTACTATCATTTTCCCTACTAAAACACACAAAAACAACAATTTTTGGGTACCTTCAGTTTAAGACAACACCTTAACCATTCAATATTTATGGGTTAGGACCATTTTGGCACCCATTTTTTTATTCAACATCTTTGGGGGACACCCAGTTGCTGATTGAACCCACAGAGTTGTCAGATGGATAAAGAAAATCCGAAAAACACAAAGATAACCCTAATATCATCCAATACCCTTTGGTCATCAAATGTGTTTACCGTTTACCCCATATTTTTCTCCATGACTGGTTTGGGGTATGATTTTTAGATGGATTGAAGCCATCAACCTTTCAATTGAAGGGATCAGTCCATCTTATGTGAGGCGTATGGAGGACGTTTGCAAAGAAGAGGAGTCGGGAAAACTCAGATTTGAGAAGTCATGGGTATGCGGGTGGTGGTTTCAGAATTTCAGCACTTGAATGAGCTAGTAGTATGAACAAAATATCTTGGTTTGTTGGCGAATGAAATAGGGAAGCCATAGGGAATCCATAGGGAAAGCTATCAACCGATGCTTCAAATGAGGCAGAGCATGTGTTGGGATTATAACCATAAATGGGGGTTCCCTAAAATGGATTTCATGGAAAATCCTAGTAAAATGGGTGATTTACGGGTACCCCTATGACTTAGGAAACCTCCAAATGGGGATATAGTTGATAGCTGATGGTTCATGGTGCACCGCTGATGGTTCTATGTTTTTTTTAGAAATTACCTGGCTTATTGAGGATTTATGAAGTAACCCATATGGGGATAGCAATTTACCAGCCAGTACAAGGTGGTGCCCCATTTATAAGTTAGTTTATAAAGCCCATGAATACTATAGTATTATAGTGAAATATCTAGCATAAATCCTACTTATTGTAGTTATAAACCACACCAACTTAGCGTTCACGAACTGGGGCACCACCTGGTAGAGCTGTTACAACTGGCTTTTGGGACCCAGATCACTTTCGAAAACCTATCCTCCAGTCCTCCAACGTGGTCAAAATCCTGGTCAGAAATGACAGTTTTATTTGGAAAATCATCAAAAATCATCTATACATTATGTAACATGGGTAATTACCAAAAACGCATCTGTAGACTATAAAGTCCGTTTCAGCAAATTGGGGATGTTGTAACCGAAGCTGGGTTCAAGAACTTGTAGACGTGAGTATTTGGGCAAATGACCACTAGCTCACAACGGACCTCACTGGGTGCAGGTTGCCTAGGTATTGAGAATTATCAAGTTGAAGCAGAAAGTGCCAGGAATGACAAGATACAGTGATGGGTATGTCCAGAATGGTAACTGTCCGGAGTGGTACAGGAATATTAGAAGTAAGAGCAATGGAATGCAACCCTCCACAAATGTGTATTCTAAACCATGGTATAAGTGTTACAGCAGTCCCGAAAAAGATACAACAGTGTGTCTAGAATGTCATAGATGATGTTTCCTCCATAATTTCCAGGTTTCCAATGTTTCTATATCTTTTTGGTAGGTGCTATGGGTTGCTTCCATGCGTTCCACTAAAACAATGCTTTAATGATGCTTCGCACCAACGCGCTGGCTTCGTGGGAAGAGTGGTCAGCGGTCGAGTCCTTCGAAGTTTCATGGGTGACGGGCACCCACGATGTTTTCTAACAGGTTTCTCCTTTGGACCTCACATCATGAAGTGAAGATGAGAGGGATTGGTCCGATGTTGTTTGTGAGCTGGAAGTACTTGAGAAAACCAACATCATCAACAACAACAACAACAGCAACAACGACGACGACGACAACAACAACAACAACAACATCAACAACACATCAACAACACATCAACAACACATCAACAACACATCAACAACACATCAACAACACATCAACAACAACAACAACACCAACAACACATCAACAACACATCAACAACACATCAACAACACATCAACAACAACAACAACAACAACAACAACAACAACAACAACACCAACAGCAACAACAACCAACGACAACAACAACAACAACAACAACAAAGGGGAGAGGTGGAACATGTGCAGGAAACCCTTTATTGATTGCTAAATCTATGTTTCTAACCGTTTATGTTCCATATACTTTCCCGCAAACCAACTCAGGGTTTCATTGTATAAGAATAATCCCCCCATCAAAATCTCGATGAATCTCCACATAAGCAACCAATACCCATTGATACCATGTTTAGGGGGATGAACATATATGAACATCCATTTGCCAGCTATGTTGATGTGAACTACAGGGGTACAAGGTTTTGACCCATAAACTCATATAACCATCATATATGGGTGAAACTATTTGGTGAAATCATTTAATTACTCATATTTATGAATTTTATCACATACCATCTGGTTATTTAACATAGCAATGGAAAATCACCATTTTCAATAGGTAAACCATCTATAAATGGGCCATCTATATCATGGCTATGTTAAATTACCAGAGGGTAAAATCATCGAAATTTCAAAAAAAACACCGGTTTTCATGTGCTGAATCATCCCATCATATCCCATCCCTTCGTAAAGCCCAGGTTTCAAGCGGCCTTTGGAAAGACAGACTTGGACTTGGTGGCTGGGCTTTGTTTAGGGAAGGTAATTATTTGGATTTATAGGGTGTGCATATGTATATAATATATATATATATATGTATATATATATGTATAATATATTATATATGTATAATATGTATAGATAAATATGTGTATAATATATATAATATATTTATATATATGTAATATATATATATATATATATGTAATATATATATATGTAATATATATATATATATAAATATTTATATTTATTTAAAATGATATTAGGACTATTAGGGACTATTAGTTATTAGGGATGAACCATACAATAGTGCTAATTAACAATAATAGAAACAATTAGGGACCAACCATGTAATAGGAGTATCCATATTGGATCATGCTACAATAATGGGAGGTTTAGGGACTAAGCATTAACCTTTTACGGGATTTGATTGAATTTCATGTCTTTTTGGGATATAACCATCCCTAAGGATCCAGCCAGGGTTTGGGAAATCTTTGTTCTCGAAGGTCACTGCCCAGCTGTTTTTTTTCAATCCAGAGTTTTGATGCGAGCTGCTTTTGAAATCTTGATCTTGGATGATTTGTGATGGATGGCCCTGACAAAAACCGGTCGTAAATTGGCGGCTTGGCGTTGTCCAAGCAAAATGGGGGATTGAATGGTTCAGCCACCATGAAATGGGGATAGAGTATGACCAAGATCCACCAGATCCGTTTGCACGTCTATGTGGTTTTAATGGTTCCTATGAAAGCCAACAAAAATGTGTCAGCCATCGCAGACCTCAGGCACCGGGCTGTTTCATCGGGGTGCTACGATTTTAGTAGCAACTGATCACTTTTTGGGGGTAGCCCAATGGTAGCCCTCCTAATCGATCAACCGGCGTCAATTAGAATCCAAGGCAAGTCATCATCAAGTCATCAAACTATCGCTGCGCCATCAAACAACCATAAAGCAAGCTGTTTAGTTCACCGAGGCTATTACCATCTATTATCCATTGTATCCTCAGATTGAAAACCATATGTTTGATATTTTAAGCCATCAAACTCCATTAAAATTCCATTAAATTCTATGAAATTGAAATTTATATTGATATTCAAGCCTGTGCCAGGGCCGGAAACGCGAGCAGCTGCAGTCCATGTGCGAACATTTGCTGATGGAGGCTGCCGAAAAAAGAAGGATGTCGAGACTTTTAGCGTTTGGAGGGGAAATTGCGAAAATATCCTCATTTATGTTTGGTCAATCGATTTTCATAGGGAATTGCCCTCTGGTAAACATTTACAAAACTATGGAAAATCACCATTTTCAATGGGAAAATCAACTATTTCTATGGCCTTTTTCTAATTCGCAAACTGTGAATGTTTACCAGAGGGTAACATGAGTTAACATGAGTTAATCATGATGTGTGGATTCCCAATTTGTCATTGGATGACCCGACCAAGGCGACCAAGGGCACAGCAGGAAATTGAAAAAATCCCAGCTTGACCCTTCCTAAGATACGGCTGGGTCATGCTGGATCCATATAGTGTTAAGGCTTTTAATTATAAATCCAAATGGGGTTATCATGGGTTACTGGTTGGTGGTTTCGAACATGTTTTATTTTCCATCATATATGGGATGTCATCCTTCCCATTGACTTTTATATTTTTCAGAGGGGTAGGTATACCACCGACGAGGTTATATCAGGTGCGATTTATGGTGATTGGACATTACAGAATACAGGGAAAGAATGAAATCCACCCCATGGCCCATGGAAAAAAGCTGGTGTCAATGGCGCGATTTTGAGATCCTCAGTAGTTGTTTTCAATCTACCCATCCCCAATCATTATCAATATTCATCAATATTCATCAATATTCATCAATATTCATCAATATTCATCATTATTCATCAGTATGCATCAATATTCATCAATATTCATCAATATTCATCATTATGCATCAATATTCATCAAAATTAATCAATATCCATCAATATTCATCAATATTCATCAATATTCATCATTTTTCAACAATATTCGCCAATATTCGCCAATATTCATCAATATTCATCAATATTCATCAATATTCATCAATATTCATCAATATTCATCAATATTCATCAATATTCATCAATATTCATCAATATTCATCAATATCATCATCATTCATCAATATTCATCAAAATTAATCAATATTCATCAATATTCATCAAAATTCATCAATATTCATGAAAATTCATCAAATTCATCAAAATTCCCCAATATTCATCAATATTCATCAAGATTCAGCAAGATTCATCAATATCATCAAAAATCATC